GCGGCGGCTGGCCGCCATGGAGGCAGGGGACTCCAGACCCCTTGGCTGGCAGGGGAGGCTGGCCGTGCGGTCTCGAGCATATTTGTAACCAGTTCTGCCACCATGAGCAGCCATGTCAAGCCTCAGTTTCCTCATTCGTGAATGAGAAAGGTGTCCCATTCCTCCAGCGACTTTCAGTCTACAAATTAGGCCTGTCCCGCTGCATGCCAGGGGGAGGAGGGGTGGGGCGAGGGTGCCGCAGGAAGACGGACAGGAGAGAAGGCGGACTGAAGGGAGCACGCCCCGCAGCGTCCACTCGGTCACCTTGCTTACTCTGCAGCCCGAGTGTTCCCTTGATACGTCTCGCGACCTTGCCTACTTGCCGAGGTACACGCTGTGGGGAAGCTGCAGGGGGTGGTGCACACCTGGTGTATGGAGAGTCCCAGGCCACAGACACTGGCGGGGCGAGTTTCCATGAACCGAATGCAGCGTCGTAGCCGGCACCCGGAGAGAGAAAAACAGCAGAGCCCAGAGCCTCGCCCAGCCACGCCACCTGCCCCCACTGAGAGCAGCCAGATGTCACGGCGTCGCCTGGCCTTGCCCAGATGCCTCCTACGCGCGTGCGTGTCCCTCCCACGTAGACGGAGCGGCGTGGCGCCAGCATGTGGACCTCCTCCCCCGCGTCACCCCTGTCCACACACGGGTTCTCACTGCTGTACGGCTCCCCCGTGGGACTGCGCCACGAGGCACATCCGTGCTGTTACCGACAGGCATTCGGTCGGTCTCCAGTCCGGGCCACCACGGATAGGGAGCAGGGCCAGCAGGGCCAGCAGGTGGCATGGTGCGTAAGGCAAAAATCTGCAAATCAGTGAATGAATGGGAAGATGGCGACTACAGAGCCCTCCCTGCCCACATGCCGGGCACGTCAGCCGGTCTCGGTCCGCTACCAGGGCTGGGGGTGAAGGAGGTGCGAGTCGGACCCCAATAAGGAGTCTCTCGGGAAAACCCAAGACAATGGGGGGACAGAAACGGGCCGGCAGGTGGCGTGGTTAAGGCTGGACTCCCACGCGGCTGACTGCTTTGAGTCCTGGACCCAGCAGCTTGAAAATCACACCAAGTGTGGGTCCAGTCATGCCCAGAACCCCAAGAAGAGAACTGAGGAGAAGGAATCGTGGTGTGCCCGTTCCCCACTGGGGTGGCCTCTCACCTTCCTTCTCTCTGTCTCTATCACTTTCCGCTCTGGTGAGAGCATGCGCCCTACGACAAAAACCTGAGGACAAACAAAACAAGATATGCGAGAAAACCTTGGCCTCTGACAGCGCCAGCTCCAGCCAACAGTGAGCACGGCGAACTCCCGCAGGCAGCCACGGAGCTGCGCGGCAGGCCCCTCTCACCAACGCCTTTCTCCCGGGACGCTGCGCCACCACAGTCTAGGCCAGCTCGTGGCCTGCTGGGGAAGGGCAGCGGGTCCCAGCCCAGGGGTTTGGGGAACAGGCCGGCAGGTGCTCTTCTGTGCCCAAATCCGAGAAGGAGGGGGAGATGGAGGAGAAGGGATTGCATGTGGCCATTCCTCAGAGGGCGCTTCCTCTGCCACCCTGTCTCCCTCTGCGAGGGCACAGACCCTCCAGCAAATTTTAAAACAAACAAAAAGCCACGGTTTAAAGGAACAAAACACGCATCTACACAGTCAGGTATGGAAGAGATTTGGAATTATCTGTTGGAGAGTTTAAAACAACTAGGATGGGACCCACCAGGAGGCGTGGTGGTTGGAGGCTCTGGACTCCCACACAGCCGATCGTGGTTCAAGTCCTGCACCTGGTGACTTGCTTTTTCACTTTCCCTGAAATAAATAAATAATTCTTAAAAAAAAACAAACCAGGATTGAAATGCAAAGGTGCAGAGGGCAACAGAGGTGGGTCACATCAGCAGAGAAATGAAAACGCTAAGAACAAATATAAAGAAGTCCTAGAATTCAGAAGCCCTGTAACAAATGGGAGAACGCCTTTGATAGCTTTGTCAGTAGCGGAGCCGGCCGGGGAAGCAAGCAGTGGGCTGGAATGAGCATCAACAGCACCTTCCTGAACTGGCGCGAGAAGGCAGGAGAGACAGCGGGCCCAAGACCTGCGGGACGTTACAGAGGTAAGACACACCTGTGACAGAAATGTCGGAGTGACGGCATAGCAAAACGCGGATACAGAAAACAGAAAGGGTTAAGAGCAATACTTAATGTAATAATGACTGAGATTTTTCAAAATTAAAGCCAGACAATGGGGCCAGCAGCTGGTGTAAAGGCTATGTCGCTGGACTCCCATGTAGTCGACCGTGGTTCCAGTCCCGGACCCGGTGGCTTAAACTCATACTGGGCGCGTGCACGTGCATGCCCAAGAGTGGTTTCTCGCTTTCTGTCTCTCTGTCTCTCTCTGTCTTTCTGGAGAGTGCACATGCCCTAATAGCAAAAATACCTCTCAAAAAAAAAAAAAAATTAAAGCCAGGCACCAAACCATGGATCCAGGAAACTCAAAGAATACCAAGTACGATAGATTTACATATATACATGTATGTGTGTGTGTGTGCGCGTGTCCTAGGTATATCATATTCAGACTACAGAGAATAAAAAAAACACAGAGAAACTCTTGAAAGAAGCTGGGGCCAGGGAGGGGTGGATAGAGATGAGAATTACTTCGGACTTCAGAAAGCAGGCATGCCGGATAAACACATAAAGGCCCGGAAGGAAGTCGGCCGAGAACTGAGTCCATACAGATGCAGCAAATGAGCCTTTGAAAGAGGAGGAGGAACAATGATCTTTGCCAAACAGAAATCGAGGGATTTGTCGCCAGGAAACATGAATGAAAAGACCTACTAGTAGTTGCTCATAAACAAAGAAAATGATGCAAGTCAGACGCTCGGATCTCTGTACAGAAAAGGAGAGTGCTAGAGAAGAAATAAAGGTAAAACAAAATATCTTTCCTAATCTTAGTCTCAGATAACAGTGTGTTCAAACTACTAACAGCAACAATGTGTTTAGTGAGTGTAGCTTGTTACAAGCCAAATGAATGATGAAATAGGCAGAGTGGTGATGAACACAGAGGGAAGGGAGCCAGGGATACTTTGTTACAAGTTACTGGGCTTACCAGCAAAGGGTAGGGGGTTCGAACGTGGACAGGGTTAAGTAAATGGACATTGCAAGCTAAGGCAACTGCTGAAAAGGCAAGAACAGCAAAAGCCTAATTGCTGTGCCCAGAGAGTGGAGAAATTGGAACCCTGTAAGATGCTCAGATGAAATCAGAGAAGGAAGAAAAGGAGTGGGGAAAAGAATAAAAAACAAGGACGACAGATAGAAAACAATAATGAATGTGGTAGATATGATATCCAACTATAAATATGATATCTATTTATAAATATGATAAATCTTGGAGCCAACTATATCTAATTACTTTAAACATCAATGGCCTAAATACAGCAGTTAAAACACAGGGGCCA